ACACAGTTTAAATGATCTGCATAATTTGTATTAACGTTAACTATAAAAACTGCAATTTTTATATTTTTCAACGTTGATTGTCCCAACATGAAGACCATATATTCTGTGTCACACACAATGACAACGTCATCTCCATCCAATATAATAAAGATTTTGATATAGTATCCTAATTGTTCTAGAAATTCTGTAGATATATCTTATTTAAGCAGCTAACATTGTTTTCAATGAAAAATGTCCCCTAATCATTTAGGTACAAGGAGAACAGAAAAGGCATAGGCGGATCCAGGGGGAAGGGGGGCTGGGGGCCCGGCCCCCCCCCCCTTTTGTGGGAAAAATTTGGTTGATTATATAGGGAATCACTGAAGCATGACTGGAGCCCCCCCCCTCCCCCTTTAGGTCAGTCAGTGGGCCCCCCCTTACACAAAGTTCTGGATCCGCCACTGAAAGGTTATAGATTATCCCACTGCCTACTCCTATTACTTTATTTTCACAGTTACAAACATTCGAAGATGGATTTCCAGTTCTAATAATAGTTTTAAATATTTTGCTTCATACTAAAAATCATTTTGAATAATTTTTTCACAAATAACAAGTGTGGACACAGATCAGTGTGGATAGTATGTTTGGATGTTTGACAATGTTTTCTGACAAAAAGAGTTCTTTGGTTTTCCCCACAGGGTTCTATGTTGAACTGTTGTGCCCAGTGACAGTCAATCTGTATCAAACACTGAAAATAGCAGTCTTATATTCAATATTGCGTTTTACTGTTCAATATATATAAGAAGATGTGTTACGAGTGCCAATGAGACAACTCTCCATCCAAGTCACACTTTGTAAAAGTAAACCATTATCAGGTCAATCAAGACTGTCATGTAGGAGACACTTCTAGTACTTTAAATCAGTGCTGACCGTTCATAGATTTTATCCTGCAATCAGCCAACTATTGTACAAATAACAGGTACACAAATAAATTTTTGCTTTATTTGTACTTGTACAAATAAAGTCTCCTGTTACCCCTCTTCCATGCTGAGCAAGCGGTAATGTGGATATTTCTTTTTGCGTACCAGTTCATTTTGGTGTCCTCTTCGCGGTCCGCGTTTAAACTATGTCGATTTCTTTGAAAAATTAGAGACAATGATTTAAATTTTAACAACTAAAGTTTCAAGTGTTTGGTGTAAATTTCAGGATAAAAACAATATATGTACATTGTCGGAAAATATAAAATGTATTTGTACTCGCTGCGAAACAGGAGAAAAGCTCGGCGAGCCTCGCTTTTCGTCCTGTTTCTAAAGCTCATACAAATAAATTTTATATTTTCCGACAATGTACATATATTGTATATTTATTTAGCTAGACATTGCTTTTAATATCAAATCTACATATTGGCAAGCGTGATATGATTGTTTCCTGTATATAATATGTACATTCCTGAAAATAAATTTTGTGCACGTGCAACGTTACATTGGAGGATTTCCTTTCAACATTTTAACTTTGAAATAACTTCTATGTGAATAGATTGACATTTAAAAAAAATGATCTGTTAAGGGAACACAGCTAGCTGAGTGTGCTCAAACGCTGGAGAGATTTACGTAAAGAAGCAAAAGATTTGGAAGGATTGCCAAAGTATTCCAATAAAATAAGTTTCAAAATTTGATTTGGGATAGCAGCAAAAACTAAAAAAATAGAGGAGGACCACATTAGGTGCATTTCTGCATGATGTGATTGTAGTATGCATGTAATATTTGTATGGTTCTATTTATGTTCCTTTGAGGTGGTCATTTCTTACTTGGGTTTGTCCACAAAAAAACTAAAATTTTGTTCAGGATCATCCCAGTATCATAAGTAAAAGTTTTTGTTCAAATGTGGAAATAAAAGATATATTATGGTTTGATAGTAATGATAATATACCAGATATGGCAGATTCCAATACAGATGATCATAACTCCTACAAACTGATAAAAATTCTTTTAGATATGAACAGGATTGAAGGACAAAAGGATAAAAAATATAATTTATACTTGGGAACATTACCGGTATGTATAAGTGAAAGATCATTTAAATCATACTCAGGGCTCATCAGCAGGCAGCACAGATGTTAAAAAAATGTGTTACAAAACCACCTACATATGTAGCATCATATTTTTAGTAGCACGAGTATCATTGTTTGGTAAATTTGTGCTTTTTTTTATTTGGCTTCTGGACAAAAAATGTTTGGCTCAAGTGCAAATAAAATGCTTTAATCTCCCCATAAATGGAAACATTGAATGGATGGTACAACTCCTTTTGCTGACAGTTCTAATCATATTACCTTGCAACAGATCATGTGCAGATGTGAGTTGTCTGTCAAATCTTTATATCACAAAGAATGCATTTGCATAACAATGAACTGAGCTCAAAGCAAAGTACTTTAATAATACACTTGGACAAAAAGCTCAATCCAGTGATATACTTTGTAATAGAGGACTGTCATGAACATTCTCCTTCATAACCACCAACATGCCAAACATGGAGTAGAAGTCCTGAAAAAGACATGTTTTTTGTTTCACAAATAACTAGTAGTAATTATGATACGAAATTTTCTAACTTTGTTTTAGTTACTCCCCTTTGGTCGATATTCACGCTTACCTGAATTTTGATATGTGTTTACTCCATCACTTTTTAAAGTGAATTGTTATTTTTCTCGTCATTACGCTATAATCCGTTCGAATAATCAGAACAAAATGTTTTATCCTCCCTTCCCTCATATATTTCGTTTGATTGATAATTTTTATACATGTTTTGCATCAGTAACTTCTGCGGAGTATCTTTAATCTAAATGGCTCACCGGTACACGTATTTATCCTTGTTATAACTTTATTAATATTTATATATGTTTTTCATATCTATGTAATGAATGTTATATACATTTTGAACATAAATTAATGTACACTTGAGTGGGTTTTTGTTTGTCATGTTTTCACCACTGCCTGATTCTTACGCACATTGGCACTTAAGCACACGAGGTATTGTGCACCTCTTATATTCAAGTTCAAATGATGTTTGATATTTCTCATGGCAAAGCATATATTTTGCCCTGTCTGATTACATCTGATCAAAGGAGTATCCAAGGCGACACTTAAATCTAATTTAAAATTGATTTGAATGAAATTTTCATAACATCTACTTTCACAATGTATCATTGAGTACCTCCTTTTTCACTGTTTCTTGGTCCGACGGATTTTGGAGGTTTTCTAAGCTAAACATGGACTTTGAAATAACTACATACATGAGAAATAGGCATCTTCTGTACGTTTTACTCCCAAACTCCTAAACCACATAAAATTTTAAAGGATTTTTATCATTTTTTAGATCGTATCTGCCTGATGAAATTATGCACTTTCTTTACTATCGTGTGTCTGAAATTTTATCACATGCCCAGAATTGATCAAAGTAAGCTCCCTTTCAATTCTCATGTTTTTTTACCTTTGTAACTCCACAGTTTCGTGACTTTATTTATGGAATTTTACATTTTTCACACATCGCACACTAACTCCAGATTTCATTAGAACTTTAATAGCCTGTTGTTGAGATTGGTATAAAGGATCTTGCGCCCCCTTTGGATTTCGATTTTTTTTAAATATTTTGTCGATTAATAGTTACGAGACTTTACTGTCAGAGTAATTTTTCCAATGTTGGACTTTGACATACCTAACTAAATGAGAAGATAGGCATCTTCTATAGTTAATAACACAATATGCTTAAAAAATACATTTTATTCATTTGTCATTCCAGAGTTATATATAGGACTTTTACCGTCAGATTTTATGCAATGTTGAACATATCACGCAGCAGCTTTGGTATACTTGAATCATTTCTACTATGTTGCGATTGGTAAATGCATGATTTAATTGGTTTCAGTTGAGGCATGTCGAAAAATGTTGTTGAGGGTTTTGACTTTTTAACGAAGAATATGACGCGTCCATCAGAATCAAACAAAAACATCGATCTGATGAAGGATTTCTAAAAAGTTCCTAATTTGTAACAGTAGAGCATGTTTTTGTCGTTTAAATTACCTTTTCAACCACCAGGGATCGATCCCGTAACCCATGCAAATTAAGTCCCCGCTCTTTGGTCAACTGATCTTGATCTAAAGGAGTACTTCTCCATTTGACTGATCGGTAGAAATGTGGAACTGTGACTCACTTTACTCCTTTAGTCAAGTAAGGGAGCAATGGTCAGTTTGTCAGAGAGCGGAGGCTGCGTCGAGAGGTCCCGGTTCTGTCCACGGTGGTAGAGTGGTAATTTTGGAGGAAAACCTACGTCCAACTGCTTCACTGCTACACCCATTAAAAATAGGAACTAATTTAAGGATTTAAGGAAACTCTGAAGAGGTACTGCGGTTTGAAAAATCGGGGTATAAAATAACTGACTAAAAATGGTGGAAAAGATGGAACAAATATTAATTAAACAGGGGACGGATCCAGATTCATTACCGCCGAGCTGATCGAGGCGAAAACCTTAAAAAAATCATATAACTCGTGAGAAACATGAGATTTTTTTGACGATCAAAGGAGGGGATTCGCCTCTGAATTAAAGGACTTTTCCAATTATTCAAGTGTACTAGACTAATGAAACTTTCTTTCTAGCACTATATTCAAAGATCCAAGTCACTCACTGTTTACAAGGGCACTTGTTTTGACCAGAAAATCGCCCTACACCTTATATTGATAATGTGTTATTTTGAAGTATAAGTTTTTATATATAAGTATGTGCCGCTGGGATTAAAGAAAATATCACGAAAATTATTTTATTGTTACACACTGTTTATTACAACTTATTCCATTCATTTAAGAATGTTTTAAAAGACAAGCTTGTAAACAAAGAACTATGGTTTTTATTATTTGTTAAAACACAAGTTTGGTTTATTGTTCACACTTTTAGTGAAATAATGAACTCGGTCATGTGTTTCGATTTGAAATTTAAAAAATTCTTTATCCGACTAATTGTGTAAACTATACATGTCCCAATCGGGACATTCGAACAGATAATATTAATTTTCTTTCACCCTAATGTTGATAAATTTTGATTACGTAATTCTTTAGTTATTTACTTCCGAACAAAACAGTAAATTTGGTAATCTTTTATCATTAGTATTATCGGTACATGATGGATATGTGCTGTAGGGGTTTTAACCAACTATTTCGTCAAATTGACCTGGAATGACATTTCACCCTAAGAAGTGATTAATGGTGTCTTTGGGACAGTAACTGAAATAACGTGTACGTGTAGTTATTTAGGATTGCATACGCCGGATTCATTGTTGAGGAAATTAATTCTTAAATTTGGATTTAACACATTCTTTCAATATTTGAGTGTCGGACATATGTGTCTGTGGAATTCACATCCTAAGTTACTTGAGATAATGTTAGATGAGCTTTTCGCTAGAAGATGTCTCAAAGAACCTTTACTTCTTCTATTTACGTAAAACTTGGTAAGAATTCACTAATTTCAAACCATTTTATATATATTTAAAAGTCTATATTTCTACAAAGATATTTAATTAAATAAGTTACGTTTTTTACCTGTTGCAAAGGTAAATTAACTTCGTATTAATCATTATGACACCTTTCGTGATTTTTAGGTTAAAGGCATTTTAGGTCAGTCAAAGATTTGCATTTGATCTAATCTATGTACACACAAGTATCACACACAACGAAAAAATTTTTTTTTTTTAAATACGACATAAATGGACTGAAGAGTGGAATACCTGTGTGAAATTGAATCTGTGGTTGGAACAGTGTTCCCGTCTTTATTGTGTCCCTCTAATATAAGTATTCCACAATAGTCAATACACACTACCAGTAGTGCAACCTGAGACTACTATAACACATAGTAGTCTCAGGTGCAACCATCCTATACAAAAGTGTACTATTCAAGTTTTCATGAAGCAAATGCGTGAGATTTGGCAAAAATTGGAAAGATCAAAGAGAAATAACAATAGTCCAAAAGAAAATGCCGCCAAATAAGCATGAAAATGCGTGATACACGTGAGACTTGGCAGCACTGATTACGAACCCCGTTGAACCAGCCAAATCATAGAAATAGTCCCTGAAACTTTAATAGGTAAGACCAGCATAGGTCAGGATTATGTGTCCATTCTATGCAGACTTTGAAGCGAAGACACAAATTTTTATTTTCTCCCGATGAAAACCCATCTCTCTCGCGCAGTATCGGGGGAGTGAAAACAGCAAACTCTGAATACACAAATCGTGTCCAATTCAAACTGGATACAACAATGGGGGTTATACTAAATATGTATAATTCAAAGTGGGATAAATATGAATGAATTATTAAGTAAAAACCAACCATCATTACAACCCTATGCAGACCCTCATTTACTATATGTACAATAAAGTGTATTAATATTTGTTACATAACCACTGATACATTTAAAAATGTGTTCAAGTCAGCACATTTTTCTTTTTGTCTACAAAATTGACTTTTTCCATGGCAATCTGACAGTCACTCTTGACAAGTACAAGAAATAACTATTTTGCCATACCATCATATTAATTCAGTCCTAGAATGTATATTATCCCTTACTATAGGGGCCTGAGTTTGATTAGTTACTATTTTGGATTCCAGGGTCCAATAGTGTTCTTTAGTTTCAGAGGGTGGCCTGGCCTGCAGTTTGGACAGTTAATCTGTAACCAACCAATGCATTTCAATCCTCACATGTTTATTTGACATTCCACCATTCCTGTTATTTTTTTACATGAGCAGAGTTGATAATTACATAAAAATGTGTCTGAATTTTGTAAATTTTTAAGTTATGTTGTTTTTCACCATTTCAAAATGTATGGTTGTGTTGAATATTACCCCAAAAATTCAAAGAAAGAAAATTGCATTGTAATTACAAAATAATCAGATTAGTTTTTTTTTTACAATATTCAAATAAGGGTATTTATGAATTAAGGAGAAATAATAAACCTTTTCTTTATTATGACACAAAATATTCAAAAGATATTATTTGACAATTGCATATATATCCAAGTAGAAAATTTATAAAACTATTTTTTTCTAGCACTAGATAAGGTACAAAATGTATCCATTTTGGAGGGCACCACACTCTCAATACCTAGAACCTAGAACGCTATACATCGTTTCATTGTTGTTAAATGGCATATATTTCTGCAATAAACCTAGGCTATATCTGGTATTCTTATGGTATGAGTGATAAAAGCAAAAACTTGGACTTTGAAACATTGGGCTGACAGAAAATAGGGAATTTCAACCAACTTTTTTTACATGAATACAAAAATGTAGCCTTCCATAGACGTTTCAAAAGACATGTGCTGATTGTTTTCAATGATAGCATTTGGTTGGTCTGATTACTCACCAAGGAACATTCACTTTGCAAGGCATAAAAGACCGTCATTGTTTTGTACATAAATCAAGTATTGAAAGGAAACCTCAAATCTGTTAAAAATGTTAAACATTTGTCATGTCGGGACCTTTTATAGCTTGCTATTCCAGGGGCGGGTCCAGGTGAGGGCGTAATGGGTGAATGCCCCCCTCCCCCCCCCCCCCCCCCCAGAAAAAAAAAAAAAAAACTATCGTAATTTGCTAATATTGTATTGAATATGGCAATTTATCATATTCATTAATTAAACACATACTCTGATTTCTTTTTATACTGATTCCCCCATCCAATACACTCACTATATATATGATACCGGGTATTTTCCAACAAACAGGGTTGCATTTTCAGCTAAATTGTCTGAAATGGGGTTATGTTTTTTTTGGCCTTGCCTTGGAAGGGGTCAGATTTGACTATCCAGAACGGGGTATTATAAATACATGTCTAAATTGAAAACAACGTTCAAACCTATGATTGCGTTGGATAAAAACCGCAATTTTTATACGTTTGCATGCAAAACAAATTTCTTGGTAGAGGGGTCTAAATACAGCACAAACAATATTTTCCAAAAGACCAAAACAGTGAAAAGGTATATTTTAGCAAAACGCATTTGACTAGCAGGTCGAACAATGGATGTTCTTAAAACACAGCTGACTGCCATGGTGATTGCCAAATAAACAGATCACCAGATGTAGCAAAATAGATCTTAATTATTATATTATATATATCAAAAGTTCAGAAAAAGCTATCGTTAAAGATTTTTTTTTCATTTTTCATGTCCATTTCATATTTTTTTTTTTAACTAGATTTATAACTTCTTCTAAAGATTTGATACCCACATGTTAATCAATACATAATTTGAATGATCCGAAGGCAGACTATTTTCACCAATTTGTCTATCATGGGGTCTGTAATAATCCATCAAAACTTGTCTGGAACGAGGTCAAGGTTTTGAACTACCAGAAGAACACCCCCGTCAATGTTTAGACCTGGTGCAACCTTCCCCCCCCACCCCGGGCATCTACCTTTGCATGTAAACTTGTAGGTCCCATATTCATTGTTGAAAAACAGAAAGGAAGACAATTTCCATCTCCGTCCATTAGCTTTATAACTTCCAAACTTCCAAAGCTGATGAACGGAGACGGTAAATCCAAACAGGTGTTTCTTTCTCTTTGTGACTCCTGCACACGTAGTGTTAAGCGACATATAGGGATCACTATAGTGGTCTTGCGTCGTCCGCGTCACTTTTCAGTTACAAATTTCTCAGCTTCTGTTGGAATGAATGATTAGATCTTTGGTACATTGCTTTCTCATGATGACTTGTACCGTGTCTTCCCTTTTCAGGTTTGTCGCTCATCTACTTCCTGTTTACCGATCGAATTTGTAGTTTTTTGGCGACACACGTCTTCTGAGGAGGACTCACAATTTATTTTATCCTATACATGACTCAATCCTTACTAGGAAAACGAAAAAGTACTGATGAAATTGTGATTCCTAAGCTTTTTGATAAAACTGATACCAAATTTATTGTATATAAAAATGGGGTTGAATTGTTTGATACCCCACCACACGTAATGGGGTGGCCTATGAAAATAGTAAGGGTTTGTCCATCCATCCACCCGGTGGTTTTAATACAATAACTCGAGAAGGGATACATGTTTTTACATTTGCACAGTTCAATGCAGTTGTTTAGTGTTATAAAATTTAATCCATGATTGTTAAAGGGGCACTAGCTACGAGATATATAAAAAAATCTAAAATAGGATTTTTTTTGTTCAATCATTAATGAAAGTGAAATAGTGATATAATTATTCGCCTTTAGCAGCCAGTATGGTTCAATTTTGTCAAAATGAGCTCGTGTAAAGTTGTTTAAAGGAAAAGAATGTCAACATTGAAACTGAAACAAAAGTAAATCATTTGATTGACTGATTCGATCCACAAAAATCATTCTTATACAGTTAAAAACGATGATAAACATATATTTTTAATCTTTAATACGAAATTAAAAAGACATAGAAAAATCCCATTGCACGAGTTCGCTTAATCTATTTATATCTATATTTATGTTTACATCGCTTATATGGTCATCGGACGACTTCGGAGGTCAACTCGATAGTTAATTAGATGGCGTCTAGACTAAAATACACACAAAACGAAGCTACATATTATCGAACCCATGCCCTGTAAATTGTTTATTTTAGACTTTTAATAGTTTGGATAAATGTTTTACATTGTTATATATTAAATATGAGAATTTGAGTCAAATCGGTGAACATGAATTTGACAGCTAGTGCCCCTTTAACAACAATCGACAAGAAAATAACAAAATTTCTAAATCAAAATTCAAAAACTTCTGCGAAACTAGGTGGACAGAGAAACACGCCACACTCGACACATTCGCAACAATGTATGAGGCATTGGTAGCGTGTTAAGAAGCCATAAGCTCCAATGAAGGACGTTCGTGGGACCGCAAGGCTATTATGGACGCTCATGACCTTCTGTCCAAGATAACAGATAGTACATTTATTATGTGCTTCCATACAGTACACAACTTCTTTGGTTATGTACATGGAGTAAGTTCTAAGCTTCAAGGCTCATCTTTGGACATTGTTGAAGGTTATAAAATGTTCGGAGCTGTGGAACAGATCATCGAAGAAACCCGTAAAAATGAACAAGAGTTTGACTTAGTTTACAGTAAAGCGTCTGGCATGGCAGTAAAGGCCGGACTTGATGAGTTAGAAATGCCCCGTCGTTGTGCTAGACAGACACATCTTAACAATGTTCCCTCTACATCAGATAAAGAATACTATAAACAGGCAATCTACTACCTTATCTTGATGAGCTAATTCAGCAACTTGATATTTTGGTCAAGAGGCTGTCTCTGTTGTTCGTGCCCTGTCAGTTTTGCCTTCCCGAGTTCACCTTATCTCCCAAGAGATGGAGAATGATATTTATGATTATTACAATGCTTATATGCCTTCACCTGAAACATTCAGGCAAGAGATGAGAATCTGGAAGTTGTTTTGGGAAAACCAACAGGACAAAGCAGAGTCAATTACATCAACCTTAAC